TAAATTTTATATGTATTGTAGGTTTATCCTCCTACTACATCGTTGTAAAATAATAGAACGCAACTCTCAACATTCGCGAGAAAAACGCATTTAAAGATTTTTGTGCTCTTAATATAATACCGTTAAGTTTGAGCAGTTTGCCAGCTAGCGGCGTGGCTTAGTGGGCGCTTGACTACCATTCTGCGTATCTGGTTCAAATCTCAGTTTTCCTAACTTTTTCTTACATTTGCATTGTAGCATATTATGTAAGCATGTTGTGATATATATTTTTTAATATTATCTAAAAACTTGTATGTGTTTATTATAAAACTTAATGTATTATAAAATTAAGTATATTTAAAAATTACGACATGTATTTATGTACAATGCTTTAAATGTTGTGGAATTTAAATTTAGAATAAAATTTGATGTTATATCATGCAATAAACATTTTAGAAATTACAAATAAATAGGAAAAAAGACAAAACAAGATTCTTACAATAAATGAGAGCGTTGGTTACATTGCCTCTCATTATTGATTCATTATGTCTGTCTGTAGGCTTACAGATTTCGAGCTTGACTTTGAGTTTGAAATATTTTGTTCACTACTGGTATTTGGCTTTTGGCTTATTTTTCTCACTGCATTACACACGATAAACTCCGAATATCCACTTACTTATTTAAACACATAACTCGAATCTTGATGAAATTGTGTTTAAAGATTGAAAATACAAACCTTGGATCGTGATACAAACGTACAGACGGCGTCATTAATTCGAAGAATAGGCGCGGGGATCGGAGAGCAAGCGGGGCGGTTGCTCGTAGCGCCAACGGGCGCCGTACTAACTAACTAGTAGCAATCGGGTGTCCACAACTGGACACCCGATTTTGGGACTAATGGATATTTGGATCAACTGGACTTTTTATGTGATCCCCGCGCCTATTCTTCGAATTAATGACGCCGTCTGTACATTTTGTATTATACGCGTAAAAACTAAAGCCATTCTTGTGTGCATATGCTCTCCGCATATTACCGCATGCTACCAAAACTCGGCAATGACTGCTTTGATTTGCTTCTCCACCCAGTGATGAAAGATTTGACCGGCCAACACCAAGAGTGAGAGCCACTGGGAGACGCACACAAGCGAGAACCGCCGTCCGTGTGCGTGACGTCACGGCGGTTCGCTTGTGTGCGTGCTCTCGGTGGCTCCCACTACTTCGGTGCTCTTGGTACTGGCCGGTCAAATCTTTCATCACTGTCCCCACCACGTTCTTTCAACGCGTTCGTATCGCCATTTCGTAGCGGATCTACAAAGGCTGCGTTCCGAGTTACGCATATGCGCTCATTTATCTATAGTACACGTTACGTATAGTATAGATAAATACGCATATGCGTAACTCGGAACGCAGCCAAAGTTGCACACTCAGGCTGTCCAATCAGGCAGTTTGACTAGGCCGGAGACGACGACAACGACAGACGTTTCTGAATCGTACTAGACCAACAAAAACACAAAAATACTTTGTTATTCAGTTTTTCAGCCGAAATCTATTAAGACTGAGAAAAAGTCGATCAGGTCAATTGTTACCAAAAAATTGTGGAATACAAATCTCTTCTCTACCGAAATACTGAGTTTTGCGTATATACTGCGCGAGGCTATACCGTGCCTTTTGATATAATTTTATTGAGAGCCAACCATTTCGATTCTTGTTTTGGATCTTTTCCAGTGGCAATGCAATTAACACAAGTACATTGGTATATGTTGAGAATCGTTGGAATTTAATTATAATTAACGTATATCAAAAAGTTATCAATATATATGTTTACAAGTTCTTCAAATACGTAATTTAAACTAAATCGCAAATAGCTCGCGCGCGCGAATAGGACGTCTGCAGTTTTTGGTGCAGTATTTTGCATTAAATAATTTTTGAATTTAGTAAGCCTAGCAAATTGTTTTTGCTTTACAAGTCTTTTTTTCATGGAAACTTCTCGAAAACATTTAGCTATGCATTATCGAATTTTTTGAATGAAAAGCGAAAATTCATGTGGGTTTTGACTTTCACAAAAGGCAAAGTTTAACAATTGACACGATTATTTTATATTTTATTTTTTTACATTGTGTTCCAATAAAACAATATACAAAATTTTACTTGCTACTATTGTTGTGAATTTTACAGTGCTACTGTTTGATATCACTTCTTTTGTAAGATATATTTTGTAAAAAACGATTTTTGTAGTATATAGTAAAAAAAAATAGTATAAATTTACTATCAAGTAAAGTTTAAATTTTGACTTCGTCTTTAATATTGCGCGTGTACTTGGCGTCTTTTTTGAAAAGGTTTCATTTTATACACGACCAACTTGAATTCATCTTATTGACCCTCACGCATTATTACTAACATTTTTACGAGAGATTCATTTCTCATGGTGATTAGAGTTCGAGTTAAGAGAATAACATGGATATTTTTTATTTGTATTGGGAACAGCTTATTTTATTTATATTTGAAAAATTAAATTAACAAAGGGAGGTCGCGACGTTGTACCAATCGATTTGGACAAAATTTATAGGATCGATAGATGACTATGTGGAGTATTGCAGGGTAAAGTAATAAGACGCACTACTCAAGCATTCGCGAAAAAATCGAATTTGAAAATTTCGAGTTACTTTATGAGGATATTAAATAGATCGTTTAATTGAAGAGCGCGTAGCCTAGCGGTAGCGTACTAGGTTAGTAGTGTCGACGCTGCTGGTTCGAGTCTCGATATACTTTTTTTTTCCTTCAAAATTCTACAATATAATCTAAATGTAAGTAATTTGTTTATTCTAAATGTAAGTAACGTTTTTTTTATTTATTGCATGTTATAAAAGTGCATTGTTTTGCATAAAAACTCTGTGATTTTGCGTACATGTTGCATACAATTATTTATCTCCTTTTTATGAATACAATTAATAATTAGTATAAATCTATTTAGTTTTAAAACGATATTTATTGAATCACAGAGTTTTTCCATAAACCTGCCAGGGGTCATGGTGACCCCACGAAAGTTCAAACAGCTGTAACTTGCTCAAAACGGAACGGATTTAAACGTACCATATCTAGAATTTTTCATTAAAGTCTCTAGTTTAAAAATATTTTTATTAAAATGTGTTTTAAACAAGTGAAAAATTATTAGAAACAAAAATATAAAGATACATTTTTGAGAAAATTAGAAAACATTTTTTTATGATTAAAAACAAAAATAAACTTATGAGTTTGAACGTCTGTAAAATACGGTTTTATTTTAAGAAAAGACACTAGATTAAAAAAAAAATACGTCTTAAAGTGTTCTTTTAAAAGTATAATTATTTTGCACAATGAAAATCACCGAGTTTCGAACAAAATTTTTTTTTGCTATGTACCTTGTTTTTTTAATATACAAATATATATAAGGCAATATATAAATTTAAAAATACATTTTTAGCAACTTTTTACTTGACAATAAGTACTTTACCTTTATTGAGTTTGATAATTTGCATGTTCTTCTTTTAATAAGACACAAACTTTGGTTTTGGCCTAGATTTATACAAATAGTAATATAATTGAAATTAAATAGTAATATATAATTAAAATAATAATATAGTAATATATAATAGTAATATATAATTAAAATAGTAATATATAAACTATCACCATTTCAACAATAATGTTAATAATTACGAGAAAACTTACTCGTGTATCTAAATGTATTACTGAGCACCAAATCGTTTTTTTATATAGTTATAAAACCTTAAGAGTAAACCCGCACAGGGATCAATATGACCCCACGTAAAAATTCAAACAACTCTTCGGTTGCTTGAGAGCGACTGAGGTTGGCAGGTATACAGGGCTTTAGTATAGCCTCTAAACATTTCAACTTGTTTTCACTTTTTTCTATTCTTTATTTTTTTTCGATTTTCTTTCTAACTCCTTTTATCTTTTATTTTATTTTTTTATCCACTTACTTTATTTTTATGTAGAGTATTTTTTTCCGGTTCTCTAAATAATGTTCCATTTCTCTATCTTTACACTCTTTTTCTTCTTTATTTTTACTATTCTTTTTAATCTTCCTTTTAATCTTCTTTCAATTTTAACATAATTTTAAGCATTTATATATTTATCTAATTATTCATATGTTTTAACTTTTTATTTGACACTTTTAGCTTATCTCTTCCTATAAAAGATCTATTGATCTTATTATTTTTTTAAAAGCTCATCCATATACTTGATTGTCTTTGTCTATTTCTATATGTCTTGTATCATCATTTATTCTCCATGTTTTTAACATTCTCCATGTTTTTAACATCATTTATTCTCCATTCTCTTATAATATTCTGTATTAATTTCAGTTTTTCTCTATTTTTCTCTCTCTTCTTATTTTCCATTTCTAAGCCTGTTTTTTTATTTTGTGTGTGTGTGGGCGCGCGCGCGCGCGTATATAAATATAATGCGTGTTAATTACAATTTTAAGTTTGTATACATATATATCAGTTCATAAAACAATTATAATATAATAGTATTACACTTCTACACAGTAACAAACGCGTAAGAAGATGCGGGCTAAAATCCTTGCTCTTTAAGGTTTGGTTTAGTGCAGATGTTTGAATTACCTTGTAGCTTTGTTTACATTTATCAACACTTTAGTCCGACATACACAAATTTCACTGTTTATAATATCAGATTATAATATCCAGAGTAAAGCATTAAAATTCTGAATCTTAAATTGTCATATCTCCTGAACCAAAGTACTCTACAACATATCGAAAGCGCAACGAAATCGGTTAGGTGTGATCTAAAATGCATATGTACTTTATATATTACGAAAAAGATTGTTTTAGTCTTGAAGATTGTTGAGTAATATTTTTTTATAATATTTTTACTTTGAATCAAATAATCAAACCGTAAAGAAATCATGAATTACAAAAGAGTCTTTCGTATTGAGATGTATTATTAAAATAAACTTGTCGTGTATGAAAGTTTTAAACATTGAATGTTCTTGTTTCTAGATCTGTCTCACTGAGAGTAAACCGAAGCAAAACGTGGCGGATTCGGTGACCTTTCGACTGTGACCAGCAGGCGCACAGGCAATATATAGAACAAGGAAATGCGTGAATATAAAATAGTTGTGCTGGGCAGTGGAGGTGTAGGCAAGTCCGCCCTCACTGTTCAGTTTGTACAAGAAATCTTTGTAGAAAAATACGATCCGACGATTGAGGATAGTTATCGCAAGCAAGTCGAGGTTGATGGTCAACAATGTATGTTAGAAATTCTAGACACAGCTGGCACAGTAAGTATTTTATAACTTAATGTTGATTACTTGTTTTTTAAAAAGATATTGAAAAATAAACTTTATGGAATTCAATAAAGTAGGTAACTATTGTAACAAGTAACATTAACGTTTTGATAAACTTTTGAACGTTTCAATAAACAAAGACAAACGTTTATGTACTATTAGTAAATGTACACACATTCAAAAAGTTCCGGGACTGATGTTGTATAAAATCGAAAAGTGGCGCTATCTGTGTTTCCATTGCAGAACTTTTTTTCCCTCTTCCTTTAGCTACCTACTGTAAAAATTTCAAAGCGCTATCTCGATTCAGTAGCGAGTGCGAAGTGTCGGAAGTGTGTGTGTTCGATTACGCGTGTCACGATCTTTACGATGGAGCAACGTGCTGCAATTAATTTTGTTTTAAATTGAAGAAATCCGCTTCAGAAACACTTGAAATGTTGCGTCAAACCATGGAATGGCGGAGTCTTGATGAAGAACAGTCGGTGAAAATCCGCGCGGTGAAATTCAAAATCAAGACAATGCTCATCTCTTTTTTCGATTCTCATGGCATTATCCATAATGAATTCGTTCCTCCGGGCCAAACAGTAAATGCTGCCTTCTATAAAGATGTCCACGACGGATTATTGAAACGAATAAGGCGCGTGCGGCAGGAACAGTACTGGTTCGGCGATTGGTTCCTTTTGCATGACAACGCACCGGCGCACACGTCAATATTGGTGTCGCAGGTTTTAGCCAAAAAAGAGGTCACAGTCGCTAACCACCCCCCGTATTCGCCAGATTTGGCTCATGCGGACTTTTTTTTGTTCCCGAAATTGAAAACGATGATGAAGGGAGAGTGTTTTGACGATGTTACGGACATCCAAAGGAACGTGACACGTGTCATCAGGGAAATTCCAGAAGAGGCTTTTTCTGGAGCCTTCCAGCGACTCTACGAACGATCAAAAATTTGTATAGAGAGAGGAGGGGAGTATGTTGAAAGCTGAATAATCCATTTTTACATAACTCGTGTTTTTCTTCTTAAACAAAATTAGTCCCGGAACTTTTTGAATGCACTGTGTAAAGTAAGGGGCCCAAATTCCGTCCTTGCACCTAATTTCGTTCTTTGGCTGATCTCAACTATTAAGTACTGTCATGTGCTAGAAATTATTGGAATTAGTAGAACGCACGCAAAAAACCTTATCACGTTATGAGCGTAATCGTTGCTTTTGTCGCAAGTTTATAACGTGTGGATAGTTTGCAAGCAGCATACTGTAGTACAGGCTTCGGTTTGAGTCTTGTTTTTTATGTAAAAAATATGTTCTTTTTACTTGCAATTTTGTGCAGTTGTAGTATATAACTTCTATTTTAATGTCACGAAGTGATAATCTCATTGTGTCACAAGTAAAATGACATTTAATAAAAATGTAAAATGTAACTGTTCTATACATTTTATAAATATAATATATGTTAAAATATAATATATATTTTATAATAATAAAAATAATAAAACTTGTACTTTTTTTTCTTTATAGAATAAAGCAGTTTTCAGTGATTTCTGCGTACTCTTTTAACTACGAACTGTATATTTTATCTAAGTTTTTTATTTTTTACACGTAAAATCATATTTTTATAGATAATGGCGCTTCTGGGAGAATCATTTTAATAGATCATACTGACAGTTTCATTTTTTTCTTCTTTTTTAGATAAATCGAAGGGGGACGAAATTAGGAACACTTTTTTTGAAAACGTCAAAAAATGCATGCTCTCACATTTTAATTTTTTTCTCTTTTTTTTTGTATAAGAGTGTTTGAAACAAAGATTATGGAATTTATACTAAAAGGTTTGAGATACACATACAAATTTTTTTAAGTCGAGCCATTAATTACAGTCTGAACATGTAGATAAAATAATAATTTTTTTAAAACCTTCTGTCTTTCTTGTTTTGTTTTTGATATATTTATGATAGAATTCTTATTATTATCGTCTTCTACTTTAAAAAGTTATTTTAATATATGAGCAAATACAATAAACGACTAATCGTAATTGTTTGGTTAGTATTATAAACTGCTCTAACATATCTTCTTAATTCGGAAAATATGTAATGTATAAAACTCTTTATTTTTTTGTTGAGCATTACTTTCCGACTGTAAAGGATTAAGTCTTGTATACTCAAACTTTTATCAGGTTCTTTGTAATTTTTTATAATTAAAATTGACGAGTTACACATTTATATATTGTAAATAATATTGTTTTTGTTTATAGGAACAATTCACAGCCATGAGGGACCTTTATATGAAAAATGGACAGGGCTTTGTATTAGTATATTCGATAACAGCACAATCAACTTTCAACGATCTACAAGATCTCAGAGAACAAATACTACGAGTAAAAGACACAGATGATGTGCCGATGGTATTAGTAGGCAACAAGTGTGATCTGGAGGATGAGAGAGTAGTGGGAAAAGATCAAGGTGTAAACTTAGCCCGGCAATTTAATTGTGTGTTTATGGAAACCTCTGCCAAAGCTAAAATTAATGTTCGCGATGTAAGTTCAATTTGTTTATTCTTATCCAAAGATTGTTTCGTAATTTTATTGCTTGATATCTCAGAAGTATTTATTTAATTCATGACACTTTCTATTGGATTGGCCAATAATGTCGGATTTTTTTGACATTAAATGTTTATTTCAAGATTTTTTGCTGAAAAAGATGGGAAATTCTGGAAGGATGGTATTATGAAGTCATTGATCAAAATGGTTAATATGTCATTAAATATATATAGTTTCCTATATTAAAAAAAAATTATTTGTGTTTTTTATCAAAAATTCCGACATTACTTATTGACCAAACCAAAACAATGTTAAAGGGGAAAGTGGTAATATAACTCCTCATTTATATTTTATACAACTTTGTTAATATTTAATATTTTAGACTGAAATCTAAGTCATATTTTTCAAAATGTTGTTCAATAGAGAGATTCAAAATCAAAACACTTAAGATATATAAAAAGATAATAAAAATTTATAAAAATGTGACGACATTGCATAGTAAATTGATACATAATAAAATTGGTAATATTATTGTACTGATAATGATTTTTCAGTAAAATAAATTAAAACAATTGATTTTGTTTAAAAAAAGTTATATTACAAATTTGTATATTTAATAAAAGTAAATTCTTAGAAGACACATAAAAAGAATAAAAAGTCTTAAGTTTAATAAATATTGTTTATTAAGTTTTACATTTCTTTATTGTCTTACAAAACATTTCATTTTTAACAATCGCATACATGTTCATTTTTTTCTGTTAAAACAAGCAATGTGCTCACATTTCACGTGCTAAACATTGTATTCACATCATTGTATCTAAGAGACCATGCCCATGTTTGTGTTTAACATTATTACTTTAACTGTATAACAAATGAAATATTCGATAATGGAAAAAACACTCAAATATATAAGGTAACTGTTTCAATTATAAATCGTGTTCCAGTAATAAGTCGCTTTTGTTTTTAATTTATTTTAAATAACTAATTTTTAAACATTTAAGAAATGTACTATTATACACTATTACATTATCAATTGATGAAATATCACATTTTGTATTGAACTATAATATTGCAAAAAAATTTAAAGATTTATTTGTAATATTTAAGGTTCTTCAATATTTCCGCAGTCATCTTAGATTGATGACGTTAAAAGCAAGGAAAATACACAAAAATTTCGTGCACTTTGTGTGAAAATTAGATAAAAGAAATAATCTAAACAAGATTATTTCTATATAAATATGGAATTATACGGAACTTTTCTTTTCAGTTTGACAACGAAAGCTACATAATAGAGCGCGCTATCGCGCAACAGACGTTAACGTTGACAGGCGTGTTCGAGGAGATTAAAAATAGCTAATGCTTTTGAGCTGCCCGAACATTTACTTTAGTGAAATTGTCAAATATGGCTGACCAAAGAAAAAGTAATGAGTATTTTATTTTTTGTTTGAAGAGAATTAGAACATTCATCTTTGTCGTCTGATGACAAAGAAGATTTAGATGCTCTCATTTTAACTTATTTTACTTATTATGGCATTATAATCTAATCTAACTTATATTTTTGGTAACTATTATAACACAGAACTATACATACTTCTATCTACTTCTATTATAGTTACTTATTATTAGTTCAAAGAAAGTTTTATAGAAAGCTAACGGCATGCTGAACTATTGTGGAACTACATTTTACTGAAAAAAAAAAAAAAAAAAAAAGAAACATATTACTTTCCAAGTGCACGTTCTGCATCATCTAGCGATACTTTTATTGCGTATTTCATACCGGTCTTCATCAATGATGGCGTCACTCTCAAAGCGGCGTCATCATTCGCGCTCTTTTTCACTATTATTTTTGAGGTAAGGCAGAAAATACTAACAGCGCTGAATAGCGCTTAATCTCTCCTCGAGCAAACTGTTGTAGTTTTTACAGCTATTTACGACTTGATAGAAAGAGGAAACAACATTTTAGTGTCATTTTTATACCACCTCCACGTGGCCCTCTCCTGGAGTTTCAAGGTCCGAGGGGAAGATCCGGACACCGCCGCAATTGCGGTGCTCTTCGCGTTCCAAACCCTATCTCCCTGCTAGAGGTTTTCAGGGAACTCGAACGCTTATACAGAAAAGAAAACTCTTCCCGGATCTCCCGACGGCGTCTCCAGGTCATTTTGGGTTATCCCGACGAACACTCTTACGAGGGCCCGAATTATATGCGGTTCTGCTGCCGGGTTCCGGAATAGGAACCGGACTCTCTTTCGCCCGACGGGCAAATAAAAATGACACTAACGCGGTTCAAACCCGAAAAAGCATCTTTGTATGTTAATACTACACACCGCGAAAGCATCAAATATCAGGAAACAACACTGTTATTAAAGATGTTTTAGATGAATTTCGATATTTCCTATTCTCAATAGTTTTCGTTTTTCTTTTTGTAAATAGATCTTTAATAACAGTGTTGTTTCCTCTTTCTATATAAAGTCGTAAATAGCTACAACTACAAAAGTTTGCTCGAAGAGAGATTAAGCGCTATTCAGCGCTGTTAGTATTTTCTGCCCTACTCAAAAATAATAATGAAAAAGAGCGCAAATGATGACGTCACGCCGCTTTGAGAGATGTCATCATTGATTCTTTAATATGTACCAAAAAGCGTCTCCTCGAACAGTCTCAGACGAAACTTGCGCAAATAGCGCACTCCCCAAACGCAGCCAATAAAATCAATAGGTACATGGTGTATTGTTATAAGTTTGTTATAAGTTTTACCAGCAGCAAATTACGCTTGATTTTGCGTATCAAAACATGTTCCAAACGAAGTTTGTTTTTCTTCTTTTTCACAGTAATATGTCTAACAAGTCCCTTGATTTGTCACAAAAAATTTTTATTTTTTTACAAAGTGCACAAAATTTTTGATATGTTTTCAAGCCGTTATTGGCCGCATTGTTACGTTCAAACGTGTCTGTTCGTATTACTTATATGTTTATTTTTTCTTTTTTATTAAAGTTTCAACATATACATATCCTTTACCGGAAAAAGCGTGTGTAAATAATCACAATCGATTCTATCGATCTTGATTGCCGCTTTTATCTCGACGCTGATTGGACGTTTCTCGGATGTTTCTCGATTCATGCCTAGATAGCACAATGATGTTTTAAAAATATATTGAAAACATAGATATTGAACGTTTTATACATATTTAAAATGTTCAGATTATATCTTCAGACAGTTTTAGAATATTCTAAATATGTCCAGTGTTATTCTTCTAGATTTTAAAATTGTCTATTTTAAGTATCTAATGGGCCACAAATGGGTCTATGTAAAACGTTTTTCTTAAGTCAAATAGACATATAAGAGTAACACATAAACTCGGATGTACATTAAAAATGAGTAACATATTTAAGTAGGAGAGAACAGGATCATGACACTAAGCGAATCGAACCGATCACTTCAATTACAAGAAAGAATGATATCTCTAATCATGTATCTGACGATGCACTTGTTAAAAAACTCAATATATGACCACATACATGTTTAGAGATATTCTTTCTTGTAATTGAGATGATCAATCCGACCCGCTGAGCACTGTTCCTCGTTCTCTCCTTTCATTGTCAGACAGCACACGTCCATTGGACGTCTAAATTTGGTCTTATTGAGTTGAAACGTCAATGAATATTATATGTATGTTTTAAGAATGTACATTACTAAACGTACGAAGTGTATTTACATTTGAATGTTTTTAAAATGTCCATCTTATAGCCATTTTGTTTTGATATATTGTACATGCTGCGCAATATTTTTCACTTTTGTAGAACTAAATCTTAATTAATTTAATGGCGCAGTGGTTGAGCATAAGGTTAATGATTTCACCAATTCTTCAAGTCCCATCGTCACTCCTAATTTTATCTATTACTTATTTTTTTATTTTATTATTATTTTACAACAATTTTCTATTTGTTTATATTTTAAAGTTTGTAATTTATTACAATTATAATAATAAAAGATTAAATAAAAACTGATATATAACTATTTAATATTGTAACATTGTTTTATTGAAAATTAAAAAAACTATGTAAAAATTGAAAATTAGTGTGAAATACTAGCAAACTTTAAATAAAAAGAAAAAATAAAGAAAAAACCAGAAACCCCGATAGGACTTAAACCCGCGTGGCAAGATTATCAATTTCACGCTTTACTTGTTTAGCAAATTGACATATTGTATATGTTAATTGACATATATATGTAGCTGCATTACCTACTTTAAATTTGTTTGATCTTTTGAAGTAGGTTGACATACTAATTAGAGAAGAGAACGAGGAACGGTGTTCAGCGGGTCAGATTGATCATCTCAATTACAAGAAACAATATCTCTAAACATGTATGTGGTCATATATTGGGTTTTCTAACACAAATACACCTTCAAATACATAATTAGAGATATCATTCTTTCTTGTAATTGAGGTGATCGGTCCGACTTGCTTAGTGCCGTGATCCTGTTCTCTCCTACTTAAATATGTTACTCATTTTTAATATAAATCCGAGTTTATTTGTTACTATCTTATATGTCTATTTGAATTGAGAAAAACGTTTTACATAGACCTATTTTTGGCCCATTAGATACTTAAAATAGACAATTTTAAAATGTCTAGAAAAGTAACATTGGACATAGTTAGAATATTCTAAAAATGTCTGAGGATATATATAATCTGAACATTTTAAATATGTACAAAACATCCGATATCTATGTTTTCAATATATTTTTAAAAATCGACGAGTTTCTTACAATAACAACATTCTGTAAAGACTCTAAATTTTACAAGATGATCGTCATATATTAGTGAAGAAATGGACATCATCATAGTAAAGAATGTCCACCGAAGATGATTTAAATCAATAAAGACGAAACGTTTGGATAGTAATTGATTGCTACTAAATCTTTTTGCACCAAATCCTGCAAGCGGTTCAAACGGTCCTTTTCATACACAATATTTTTAAAACATTGTAGTGCTATCTGGGCTCTAATTAGTGTGTCAACCTACTTAAAAAAATTAAAATCAAATTTAAAGTAATGCAGCTACATATATGTATATGTCAATTTGCTAAACAAGTAGAGCGTGAGATTGATAATCTTAACTAATAAAAATGAAAGGTTCTACAAAATTCAAACACGTAGAAACAGGGCCAATATGAGCCTTAAACCACAGTTAACAATGTGCAAAAATTTCCGGTTTATTAAGAATTTTTTTACATTTCGATTCACAAATTTTGAATCATCTTCAGGAAGTATCTGTGTAAATTACAAAGTGCAATAAGTACACATGTTGACAGATTGAAAGAAATTTGATACATATTAAATACATTTGGCCGACACTTACAAAAATTGATTGATAAACGCCTCATGTGACTCATTGATTATCCATACAACCGCAAATGTCAAAAATATCAATTGATTCACGAATAAAAACGTTACTCAAAATAAAAGATAAAAAAATTCCTTGTTTTGTGTTTTCTCTTCTTCATTTTTTATCTTTTAATTTGAGTAACGTTTTTATTCGTGAACCAATTGATATTTTTGACATTTGTAGTTTTATGGATAATCAATGAGTCACATGAGGCGTTTATCAATCAAGTTTTGTAAGTGTCGACCAAATGTATTTAATATAGTATATCAAATTTCTTTCGATCTGTCAACATATGCTTATTGCACTTTGTAATTTATACAGGTACTTCCTGAGGATGATTCAAAATTTGTGAATCGAAACGTAAAAAAATTCTTAATAAAACCAAATTTAAAGTAATGCAGCTACATATACAGGACATTTTTGCACACTTTTAACTGTGGTTTCAGGATCGTATTAATCTTGCCACGCGATTTCGAGTTCTGTAGGGGTTTCTGTTTTTTTTTTATTTTGTTTTTTTTTATTTGAATTTGCTATTATTTCACACTAATTTTTAATTTTTAGTTAATAGTTTTTTTATTTTTAATAAAACAATGTTACATTATTAAATAATTATGTGTCGAGTTTTATTTAATCTTTTATTATTATAATTGTAATAATTTTAAAATATAAACAAATAGAAAATTGTTGTAAAATAATAATAAATAATTAAGTACTTGAAACGGCTTGAAGATAAGTCCAGAAGCAAAATAAAGACCTAAAAGCCTGTAGTCCATGGGTAAAAAATACGATCGAAACGTTCCAAACTTTAATTTGAATTATCGGATTATTTTAACCCACCACCGCCACCCGTGGACTACAGGCTTTGAGGTCTTTATTTTGCTTCTGGAATAATAATAAAATTTAAAGAATAAGAAATAGAAAAAAAATTAGGAGTGACGATGGGACTCGAATAATTAGTAAAATCATTAATCTTATGCTCAACCACTGCGCCATTAAATTAATTAAGATTCAGTTCTACAAAAGTGAAAAATATTGCGCAGCATGTACAATATATCAAAACAAAATGGCTATAAGATAGACATGTTTAAAACATTTAAATGTAAATACACTTCGTACGTCTAATAATGTACATTCTTAAAACATACATATAACGTTCATGGACGTTTCAACTAAATAAGACCCAAATTTGGACGTCCAATGGATGTTGTGTGCTGTCTGAGTGTCGTACGAATATACATATATACTTGCTGTCATTGCGGTGACAAGTTGTATTCACTGACAGAACGCGTTAAAATAAAAATAATAATCGTGTTGTGGTAGTCTATCTTATTCTAAGTGTAAAGCAACGTGAAAGACTTTTTTATGTTTATTAGTTCTCATCAACAATCGCTACTGTAAAATCGAACTTGAGGCTCAAGTATCGAGGAGCCTTAATTTTCATCAATGTCAATAAGGAAAAGTACATATTGTTAATTTAATAAATATGTATTTTTCTGCAAACCATACGGTCATTTTGTTTTCTTTTTTTCAAGAACGCCTTTACGTCTGTTACGACACTTCAAATTAAATTTTCATAATGAAAAAAAAGCAAGTTGCAAATCGAAAATAGTGATAGAATAGTTATGAGCGGCTAAAAACTCTTTATATATATAGTTTACGAATATCTACCGTTCTTAATATATTTAAACAAGTTTAATTACCTCAAAAAATTTGTGTTTAATTTTCGAAATTCTTTTTCAGATATAATAGTTTTAAGCTCTATTTTTATTATAGTTTTATCTATTTTGAAGAAACAATTTTTGACAATTTAAAAACATTTAGATGCACGAATAAAAAAGGTACAAACTATAAACAAATTTTCAAAACCGATACAAAATAACATATATCTTCTTATCCAGAACTCTAAAAACTTATTTATTCAGGACTTAGAAAGTTTTTATAAGAATTTTAAATATCAAGTATATAATGTAGTTTATTACTGATTACCTTATATTTAACAGTTACCTTATATTCGTGTGATAATAAGTTTAAGTTTAAGAAACAAAATAGTATGTATAATTAACTCCGCAGGGTATTAACTTGTAGAATATTAACCTATATGTATACTTAATCTGTACGGAGTGCTCTAAGCTGAATGCTTTGTACGACCGAAACTTTCTATTTGATTTTAAGGTAGTTATCGCGTAGAATCGATTTCTTGCCAACTCTTCTAAATTTGAACCACATATTAAGCAAGAGACTTTTCAAGCGCTCATGAAATTTCTAAATGTTTGACCGTTTTAAAGTTGAGATAATTGCAATTATAGTATATTAAATGGCATTTTTTACATGTATTATATGCGTAAACTTATTCAAAAATGCAATTTGAAACTCTAGCTATCAAACAATTTGCGACATTGATAAAAAACTAGAATGCGGTAGATTACGATTAAAAGAATACTATAAAAAAAGTTTAGAATTATTGATCGTCTAGTTGTTGAAATAAGACCGCAGAAAAATTATATTTCTTGACAAAGCATAGTTAGGCAAGTAACAGCAACAACAATGTCGCCTTTTGCACAACGTATTTAGATTTTGACACACCGTTTCTTTGCAATTGTTTTGCCTTTATCATATTTAAAATTGTTTTGAAGTGTTTTTGTATCTGTATTGAAATTGAAAAGTCATTTTAATAGTTTTGTTTGACAGATGAGCAGACTGACAGATTTGGTTAGACGCGCGCGACGCTATCAAATTGCCGTTTGATGTGTACAGCATAGACAGTCGCTACTAAAAGTTTACCGCATTAACAAAAAAATAAAATTGTTTAAAGAAATTTTGAGCATAATAAAACTACTTATTTATTTCTACACTAATGACATGTTGATAAAATACAGTCTGAAATATTCGTACGACATGTGAATCGAGTTTTGAGAATACTTTTCTGTAGCGTAAAATTAAACTTTTGAATAAGACTGTTGCGCGATAACTACCTTAAACTATTGAGTCGTTGTGCAAAACATAATTGAGCTTTATGTTTAATTTTTTGACTCCGCTTCTAATCCTACAAACTCTATTTATTAAATTAGATTAAATTAAATTAGTAATTGGATTCTTGAATTACGTTGAAGCGATGGTTTTCGCGAGCGGATATATTTGTCTTTAAGTCATAGCGACAGTTTTCAGATATATTTGCCTATAGTATTCTAAGAGTTAAATGCTTATTAAAAATGTTAAAAATGTTTGCAAATTCTTTAAAGGAAAAATATACGTCGTTTATGTTACTATTATCATATCAATGACACTACGAGTGTGTATGCTTTGAATGTTTTTGCATTTAAAGCAGTTTGTCTTTATTGCTTTTTAAATATACAAACAAAAATAGATTGGCGCTCAAAAAAAATGCCTAAATGCGTTTTGCGTAACATTAGATACTTAAATTACTTATTTTACAAACAATCATTAGAATTCATCATTTAATAGCAGAAATATTGAGGGAGAAAGATCATATTATCTACAGGGGACTGTATTACCATCTTCTCTTCTAATATTTCATTTGCACTCGACAATATCAGCTAATTGCTTTAAGAATTATTATCACTTTTGGATATTCTCTCTCTTCTAGATTTTCTATGATCTGGTTCGACAAATAAACAAGAAGTCGCCAGAGAAAAAAATGAAACAAAAAAAGAAATCGCTGTGCCTACTTTTGTAAGGTAGATATAGCGGAGCGCAATGAATAAAATATCGAAGCGGTAATAAATTAAAACAAGAAGCTAATGACACCAAGAACAAGGGGGCTGACGGGATATTACTAGAACGACAAAATGGAAATTTAAGGAACTGAAAATCCGGTTGTAAATGGCGGTAAAAAACGAAAGAATGACAGCACAAGAGATACAAGTAGCGGGGTCAAGAACAAAGACACATGTGAAATGGAACACAGCGACAAACGAAGAAAATATTGTATATACGTTGATTTTTGAGTGATTCATGTGCACACGCAAACAACGACGCACAAAACAATATATGAGACTCCGCTACACTGGTGGAAGAATAGGAGATTTTCATAAAAATACATGCAAAGAGAGAAATAATTACCTAATAATTATATATATATATATATATATATATACTTACAAGAATGAAAACAGATAAAAAAAGAGATAAAAAGAAAACAAATGTAACTCAACTTTTCCAAAAAACAACCAGAAAGAAACATGATTTTAGACGTGCGTGTGCGCATTATCAGCGCCTTGTACATCGCCGCGTACTTTTCTTCCTCTCCTTTTCCTCTCTCTTTCTCTCTCTCTCTCCCCTTCTCTCTTATATAATAAAATAAGTATAAATAGATGATCTTGATTATATTGCTCTTACTATTAATTAATTAGTATCAAAAAAGCCATCAAAATGTTCGTAAGTTATCGAAATGTTTGTTTCTCAAACATGTTTTTCTATATCTTTTCATATTAAGGCAAATAATAAAAAAGTGAATGTTAACACAAACGGTCCAATTTTCCTATTGTTATAATGTAATCAGGATTTTATTTAATTCCGTGCCCTCTTAGCCTTGTTTATAAACCGCTCGCGTAATTAGTCTAGATAATTTGTGGATCTTATCCTTGTTTTATATGATTTACATCGAGTTATAAGATAATAAAAACAGAATTTGAAAAATACTACTTTGTGATATATATGTAATTGAAATGTGTGACCATACAAAAATTTTTTCATACTTATCGTGCCACAATAGATTTGTATAAAAATGTGCAAGAACTAAACACGTATAATGTTATAAAATATAAAATAAATTCAGAAAAAATAGATTCTTTGATGTCCAATTAATGTTAAAAGACAAATAGATCAAATAGAACCGAAAGTGGTTGTTGGTAAATAAATTTATGCAACATGCTCTTATTAAAATATATATTTATCCATAAATTTCATCAATGCTTCTGATCCCTTTCAACCCAGTCAGCATAAAAAGGCCAAAATACAAAGATGTGTAAAGCATAATGGGACGTTTTTAAGAGAGTAATGGATACCGACTATAGAGACCTGTAAACCGACGTTTTTATAACCTACATTTTTTTATTTTCTAATTTTATTTACTGCACATTAAAAGCTTCTACAGAAGCAAATAAATATAAAAAATCATATATAGCTTTTGAAAATGGGTATATAATACTTTTTTGAACTCTTTTTTCATTCATAATGATAGTATATGGTATCAGATATACATTATCACACTATGACATTGTTCTCATCAAGTAGATAGTCAAACCATAATCTGAATGTCTTATTAGATTCTTTTTTGTCGTACTTGTACTGTTGCTCTTGTTTATTGTAAATATGTACAAAGCTTAGAAATAATTCTACATACATGAATATATGGTAAGGTTATAGAAGAAAACTGCATAAGAAAAAATTTATGCTGAATTTTGACATTTCAAAGAACAACCCGTGGAAAAATGGATTAGATCTAATTTAAATCTAAATAGATGTAAAGTATATAGATCTAAATAAATATAAGATAAATCTAAATAGATATAAGTAAATCTATGGAAATTTACACTTTTATTCATTATTAGATCTACTCTTGATCTACTCAGATCTATTATATTAGATCACCTCAGATCTGTTCAGATCTGCTCAAATTTAAGTAAATCTGAGTAGTTTTAATATAGTAGATCTGAGTAGATCTAAAGTAGATTTAATAATATATAAAAGTGTAAATTTAAGAGATCTACTTATATTTATTTAGATCTACTTTATATTTATTAAGATCTACCTTATATCTATTTAAATTTAATTTTTATCTAATTAGATCTATTTTTCCATTTTTTTTATCTCGTTAAATTTAAGTTAGATCTAATCCATTTTTCCCGGGAAGCGTCAATTCTTAGCACAATTTACTTATTTCTGTAGAAGCATTTTAGATTTAATGCAGTAAATACGACACCAAACGTCATAGGAGAAACGTCGGTTTACAGATCTCTATAATCGGTATCCAGTACTCTCTTAGTCGTCTTTTAAACGTCTTTTAGAGATGTTATTTGGGAATGTCTAAGGCCCGATTTCTTCATACTTCCCGATAACTATCCTCTGGATAAAAGTACACAAAAAGATATACTTTATCTATTAGATAAAGTTATCGAGAACTCAGAGATGAAGAAATTGGGCATAACTCAAAAAGGAAAGAAAACAATTTGAGTTTAGATTTTAAGAATTGGTAACAGTAAATAAAAGTATTTACATATTAATAATAGTTATGACAAAAACAAGTTCAAATTAAAATTGTGATAGAATAATTTTTATCAAAAGGCAAACTAAACAATAGAATACAAAAATAATATTTTGCATAAAGCGAGACATGTTATTACAACGGTCAGTTACAATAGCTACACAGAAAAAAAGATTTGACAGTTACAACGAATTCGTTATCGCTACTACATTTTCGTAATAACAGCGACAGAAGTTTGTACGGCTAAGTTTTTATTTTATTTAATACTATAGCAAAACTTGTTTAGTTGGTGAAAATTTTTATTGAAGAAATTTCTTTGTAAAGTCTTTGCTATTTAAACAAACCATTTTTAAGTTCAATAAAAATATTTTCAAAGTATAGCAAACTTTAATACTACTTATATATAAATGTATCCTAACAGCAAGTGTAAACTTGTTGATGCTGATTTTAAAACAGAACTTCAGTTGGCGATATATAATAGTTGAACGACGGAAAACTTGCGAGCTAGACAGTAACTATTCTCGGTCAAAACGACTCAAAAGTTGCAGTTAATCTTCTTGAGTTCATATCATGTTCATATCATTAATTGTAAAATACTTTCCATACTTTCTCTGTTTTATTAGTGTATGTACACAACGCGTCAACGAATCGCGGAATAGGCGCGAGGATCGGAGGGCAAGCGCACTGAACTCTATATACACTGGAATGTGCATCAAGAAAAATTCATGGTACAAATTGAATAGCGCCATGTTTGTTTGGCCTGGTATTTTAGCAAATCAGAAGCGTGTTCTGTGTTCCGCTACAATATGAATAACGGAGATGAAAAAGTACCAAAATAGAAAAAGTTTATTCAGGAGTTTAAGTAGT